GATTAGACATGTTTTTATTATTGTCTTTAGTGATTATCTCAAGTTTGGCGAAAAGACTTGATAAAATCCTACACACTGTGCCTTTAAGTTTGATCTGATCTATAAACGATGAAACTGTGAAACAGAAAACACAAGTATCTCTGCTGCTGTAAGACTGAAGACTGGACGTGGGACTAAATAAGTTCTAACCCAGGCCTGTAAATCATCCTCACATATATTTTGTTGTGTTTTCATATTTTATTTGACATTAATATTTGAGAAAAGGTATTTGATCAAAGAAAAATACAGAAAGTGCTTCAATGTCAAGATAACAACTTTGCTGAATTTTTTGTTGTTTGTTAGWTTTTGCTAGAAGTTGTGTAGTGTGAGCAGAAGAAATTACTTTCATTAAAAGTCCATTACAATCATCACATTATATTTAAGGTAATGCATGGAACAAACGGGTAGAAAAGGATTCTCCTGATGTCTTGTCTGTGARCTGGGGTTTTTGCCCCAGCAGGTCTTCTGATTTGGCACATTTGTGATGGAAATAAAGAGGCAAAGGAAACTCAGTGGGGTTTCATCTCAGGACATGATTACAGACTGTGGACCTGAGGCTTCATACTGGTGAATCTGGGTCACACCTTAACCCCAAGTCACTATCAAAACACTGTTAATGAGGCCAAGAGAAAGTATGTCTCATCATAACAACCCACGTGTGTTATTTCAAACCATCAACTCTGTTCTTAAGGCCCCACAACCTGTGAGTCTGCAGCTTCCCCATAGCATTGTAATAACTTTCTGCACTTTTTTATAAATAAGGTCGCCACAATAAGAGCCCTTATCTCAGCTCCTGCTTTTGACCCGTCCTGCTCGGTGCCCTGTCTGGCTGTTTGATAGGTTTGAGCCAGTGACTCTGACCGCTTCAGAGGATGTGGTTGCCCACATTAATCCATCAGGTTCTCCTCCTGACCCTGTTCCCCAACATTTCTGTAAGGAGGTGTTTTCCAGCATCAAGCAGGTGATCCTTGCTGTTATTAATAGCAGCTTGTCTTCAGGTGTTGTCCCCATTAGTTTTAAACATGCAGTGGTGCAGCCCTTGCTCACAAAACCTAGCATTGACCAAACTGTCTTGGCAAATTTTAGGCCCATCTCCAAGCTGCCTTTTATTTCTAAAATTTTGGAAAAAGTTGTTTATTCCCAGATCAAGCCTTTTTTGAACGAACATAACATCTTGGAGGTTTTTGTCTGGCTTCAAAACTAAGCACAGCACAGAATCTGCTCTAGTAAGAGTTTTTAATGACATCCTTATGGCTAATGATTCTGGTGAATGTGTGCTTCTTGTTCTGCGCGATCTAACCGCTGCTTTTGATACAGTCGATCAGAACATTTTGATTGCACATTTAGAGCACCATGTAGGTATCTGTGGTACCGCACTGAACTGGT